CCAGCCTAGGAATAGCACAGCTAGAAGGGAATTCTGAGCCCTTTAAAGGCAGGCAAGAAGCCGTATTCTACCTGTATACCTAGCACCTGGCACAAGGTAGGGACATACCCAACAAAGGCCTGGTGCAGAGCAGGCCAGGCTCTCAGTGCAGCCCAGAGAACTGGATCTCGGACATGCCCCTGCACTCGTTGAATCCCCCTATCTCCCTACCTCTCAAGTATCTCAAGCCTAGAGGAAACTCACAGTAAACACTCCATCTACAGCAGCTCTGACCTGGGGTGGGAGGGCAGGGTCCTGGCTACCGTGTAAATGCCTCCAGTGATGGGAGTGGGGGGATGCTCCCTTTTGGGCTAATTCTGAGAAGAAGACAAGAGCTTAGCATGGTGCATGGGATATATGGCTGGCAAGTTCAGTGGCAGGAGCAGGCCACTAAAGAGACCAGAGTCATGACCGAATCCCTGTGGAACAGGATAGCTGGATTCTCAGATGGGGAGGGACGAGGGGACATAGCGAAGGAAGTCAGATAGATTTAGCTGGACATCTATGGAGGCCAGAAACTAGGCAGCCAGCCCTGCTCCTTTTCCTTGCACCGTGACAAGTTTGGGTGTGTGTGTGCGTGCACTCATGTAAAACAATGCTATAGAGTGAGCAGAACAGACTGCTTTGATTTTGTGAGCGTGTGTTGGGGAGAGATGTGTGGCGTGTAGTGTGTGTATCGGGGAGCATTGTGTGAGTGGGAGGTTACTGTGTTGTGTGTGTGTGTGTACTGTGATGTGAGTGCACATATGGTGTGTGGTTCTGGTGCTTGTGTGGAGGCTCAGGGAGGGAGGGACAGGGAGGGAGGCTCCCCCGCACACTACTCCCTGGTGTGCTTGCTACAGTATCAGCGTGTGTATATGCGGCTTTGTCTCTCCCCATTATACCCCTTTCCCTTGCCTTCCGGCCCCTGCACTGGCCCCCTCCAACCCTGGGCTCCCTTTGTGGGTCACTACAGCCTTACCTGCAGCAGGTAGTGGATGACAGCCCCAATGGCCTCCTTCATGACGCTCACGAGCTGCACCTTCTGTGGCTCCTTAAGCAGTGACTGCTCACAGCGGGTGCACTCCTGGATCCCCAACTCCATGAGGGCATAGCAGGCGGTCACTACATCCTCTTTCACCTCCGTGCCTGTCTCTTCCAGTGCCAGCCGCACCTCCACGCACGCCAGATTCACCAGCAGGGCCAGGAACTTGCTCCCGGAGCTGCCCGCAGGGATCCAGTCGGAGCCGCAGGCGTGCGCCAGGCGGGCTGCCAGCTTCAGCGCAGGGTTGCGCTGCCAGGAGCTCAGCTTGCTCCCCAGGATGCGTGCCAGCCCGGCCTGCAGATCCCGGAGGCATTCAGGGGGCACGGTTGTTGGGGGCAGAAACAGGGGCAGCAGCTGGCAGAGCTCAAACTTGCTGGCATCCTCGGCTTTCTGGAAATCCTCGCTGAGGCCCCGCAACACAGCCAGCAGGTCGGGCTCTGCCTCCTTCCAGCACTGTGTCTCGGCAGCAGCCAGCAGCCCCACCAGGAGTGCCAGAGCCTGGTCAAAGCCATAGCCATGCCCCAGGTATGCCTGACACAGGGCAGATACAGTGCCACCAGCAATGAGGTGCCGGGGCCCTCGGGGTGTGCCTGCCACAGCCGTCAGGCACTGGTAGGCGTCATCAATCATGGAGCGGCGGGCAGCATCGTCCGGGTCCCCCCGGGCTGTGAGGAAGGTGCTAAGGATGGGAATCTTGTTCAGGACCTGGGGATGGGCGGCCAGTTCAGGGTCACTGCAGAAGCAGGCCAGCAGGGCCACACCCAGGGCACGGAGAACATGGTCAGGGCAGCCATCTGGTGCCTCCTTGGTGGTCAAGAGACGATTGGGGAAGGTGAAGCCGACGGCATCGAAGATCCGCCGCCGAGTTTTGGCATCTATGTCACCTGCTTTGACTGCCTTGGTCACCTATAGGGGGTATGTGCTATCAGCAGGATGAAAGGAAGAAGTGGCAAAGACTGTTCCTTTCCTGCACCCTGGGGCATTGAGGACTAGCAGGATTAGGTTATGCAACTCGACTCACTCTGTGGTCATTTCATCTAGCAACTTCCTTCTCCTTGGAGACAGATAGGTGTGACCTCTGGGATCCCTCTCATCTGCTGTCCTGTGGAAGGGAGATCTAGTCCTCCTCAACTACTTATTTGGGGATGTCATCACATGGCCAGTTGGGCAGTTCTTCCTGATGTCTAATCTAGATGCCCACAACCTGGGTTGGAAGGGGCTTAGCACTCAATGTTTAAAATCCCTCAAGGATTTACGTCCTTCCCTAATTGCTCCCTCCAGAGAAGTCCCTGATCCATTTCTGCCACCTTCTCAGGGGAAATGGCTCCTGTGTCTTGCCGCTCTGCCTGTCAAAACATTTCCCCTTACATTTCACCTAAACACCTCCTCTGCTGCAGTGTGAGCCCTTGACTCCAGAGCCTTCTCCCTGTTGCCATGGCAAACAAGCAGCGGCTGTACTCCCTCCTCCCTTCACCCCCCACACACCAACCCCCCCTTCCTAGCACTGCAGCTCCTGCTCTGCTGTCCCCAGCTTGGCTTCCTCCAACAGGGCTAAGCCCTGAACCTGCTCCCTTACCTTAATCTACCTACTGCCATCCTGGCCATCCCTCGGACCCCTCCCCAGCCACTTCCAGTCCTGTTACTCTCTCCAGGCCCAGAACAATCATCCCCAGCCCTCAAGTACTCTGCACTAGTTACTACCTGCTGCTGTTACCCTATGAGTCAGCTCCCATCTGCTCTGGGATGCCCAGAAAGCAGACCCAGGCAGCCTCCACCAAGGCTCTTGGTGCCACAGCCTTATTTACCCTCGTTCTCAGGGGAGCAAAAAAGAGCACAAAGGTAGGAGTCTTGGGTCTTCTTTGGTGCCTTCAGAGATGCCAGCAAAACCTACTTATCCTTGGGGACTCACTGACCCCATTCCTTGGGGGCCCAACCACCCAGCCCTTCCCACCTCTCAATTTCCAGCCAGTTCCTTACTAGCAGCAGGGCTGCAAACTGCTCGCTGTCATTCTTGGCCTCACGGAGGGCTCCCAGGTAGCGCTCCAGGGTGGGGTTTCGGCTCTCTGCCTGGTTCAGAGCTGGCTCACAATCCGAGGCCATGATGCCCGCCTTGCCCAACTGTGAACACAAGAGGGACTGAGCATCTCTCTGCAGAGGAGGAACGGGGGTGGGGTGGGGGTGAGACTGGAGGATGGAGGGAGTGGGGGAGGGATTAGTACAGAGGGAGGGGAGGAGAGGACTTGGAGCGGGGGCTCCTCAGGACTGACTTCCCTTGGGGGAGCCCCTTTAAGGGGCTGGACCTGCAAATCCTTAGAGATGAAGAAGGGACCCTGGTCCAAGGTCACCTCCAGAAAGCGGGAAAGGACCATGCACCCTGCTGTTCAGCTGGACAGCTCTCCTCACCAGTCTCCTGGGGGTGGGAGGGGGCTGGCTTCACTGCTTGGCTGTGCCCTAGCACCAGAGTCCAGGTTTTATCTTCCTCCACCAAGGCACAGAGGGAGTGAGTGGTGAGGACAGACAGGGAGGAATGGAGACATACAGGGGTGAAGTTCGATTATCCGGACTCAGGCTGACATAGGGGAAAAGGACATCCTAGGCTTCCTTTCCCCTCCCTTCTTCAGAGGCAGGAGATGAGCTTCAGCAGAAGTGAGAATACAAGGTGCTCAGGAGGGAAGGCTTGGAGGCCCCTCTGGGGACCCCAACCCTCCAGCCAGGGCTCTCAGTCGCCCCCGCAGGCTCCTTGCCTCCTCTACCTTCCCTCCCTCAGGCAGAGGCTGCAGCAGCAACAGCAGCAGCAACAGCAGCAGCAGCAGCAGCAGCAACAGCAGCAACAGCAACAACAGCAGCAGCAGCAGCAGCAGCAGCAGCAGCAACAGCAGCAACAGCAACAACAGCAGCAGCAGCAGCAGCAGCAGCAGCAGCAAAATTAACCCTTTGCATCCCCTCTCCTCACTCTCCCCGTCCCGCTACCAGCCTGTGGATGCCAGCAGGGGCTGGAGAAGCAAGAAGGGGTCCCGGAGAGTTTCCAGGACAACGGAGAATCCAAAAGCCGGATAATCGAAGCGGGGCTGCTGAGATGGGGAGATGAGAAGGGAAGGAGGGTTCCTGGCGGTCACCACCTGTCCCGCCGCAGCCAGGTCACAACACGACATTGATGAAGTCACGACAGGGCGGCGATGAGATCACACTTCACGATGGCGCGGTGATGTCACGGAGAGATCACGGCAAAATCACAACATGGGAGACAGCCCCCAAAGATGACAGAGCAAATTAAAAAAAAAAAGATATATATTGAAAAGGGTTGTGACAAAATGGAGTCTCGACAGGGCGCGATGATGTCGCGATATGGCACGATGGAGTCGCGATAGGGTCCCCGGGGTGTGTCGGCATCGATCAGCGCCGGCTCGGAGAGTCCCCGGCTGGGATGCAGGGGAGGGCCTGAAGGGGGCTGAGCTCACCAGGCTGCGGCCCCGAGCGGCGAAGTCTTCTCCGAGCGCGATGCTCCGGGAGCCTGGAGCCGCTGCTCACGCCGCGTTGCCCACTCCGTGCTCCGGGCTACTGCAGCTCCACCCCCACCCCCGCAATGCTCTCGGCCAATCCGCGGCCGCTTCACTCCGGGCTCTGGCCAATGGCATGTCTGGGCGCTAAGCCGTAGGGGGTGCCGCTGTTGACGCCATCTTGCTTGTGGGTACTGCCCGAGTCTGGGGCTTGGGGTTCGTGCAAAGCAGGCAAGGTGCAGACTGCCTCTGGAGAGCGGGAGGCGAGAGGCCGGGGGCCCAGATTCCTTCTCTTGTGCGTAGTTTTACCCACCCAGTACTGCCCCTCCTCCCCCTCGGGCTCGCAGCTGGAATTGCGCTTCCGGGGGGAGGGGCGGGAGGTCTTGGTTAGCAGAAGAGTGTGTTTCCGGGTTGAGCCTCGGGAGGTGGGAGGAGGCGGCGTTTCCGGCCGCTGTCGCTGTCCTGGGAGGCTGAGGCGAGAGGTAGCTGTCCGGGTGGGGAACCCGCACTACCTTCTTCCTCTTCCTCCTCCTCCGGGTGAGGGGAGCGAAGGTTGGGGTCCCCGAGCCCATGGACCAGGAGGAGGCGGAGGCCGCCGAGAGCCGGGGCCTTGCTATGTGGCCCTGAGCCCCGGTAGGTGGCCGGGGGCGGCTGGCTGCCAGGCCGAGGACCATGAACTCAGGGGAGGGGCAGGCGGGACTCGGGTGCGCTGGCCGGGTGTCGGGACCCGGAGGTGGCGCTCCTGGCCGGCCAGGGCAGCCAGCCTCTTCTGGCCTTCCAGGTGCGCAGCTTGGGTCCCAGGCTGGACTCCGCTGCTTTCGGTCCGGGCCTGGTAGTGCAGCTCCCTCCATCTCCTGACAGGCGGACAGACCGGGCTTGGGGCGCTGTCGTCCTTCCACCCTTGACCTAAGAGCTTCGCGCTTAGCTGCTGTCTCTGGTGTTTGGTCTCCTCACCAAGATATTAATAGAAAGCTGGTGCAGAGTAAGGGGGGCGGGGTTTAGCACGATGTGTAAATTATGATGTGAAACCTACCTCATTCAGGATTTTGAAAATTATGCCCCACAGAGGGTCCCGTGATGGCTGCGGTGAGCACAAAGGTGAAGTGAAGGAAGTCAAAATAGAAAACATCAGGCGGAGTTCAAGGAAAGCTTTGCATTCTCTCATCTCATGGTGGTTGTGCCCAACTGACAATAGTTGCAGTTAGTGAAGAGCATTAGCCACGCTCCCCGTGCTTTCTTATGTGAACAACAGACTGAAAACTAGGAACAAATTGGAAAGACGACCTCCCAGAACAATCTGTTCATTTTTCCAGCTATTTGGAAAACAATGTCTGCAAATATAAGCAAAGCTATTCATGGCAGTCTGTTCTGTAACTTTCCCAAATATCTGAGACTTTTTTAAAAAGAGCTTTATTCTTGATTACTCATACCAGCTGAATAGGCTGTTTCAGTCGTGCTCTGTCATTGTTCAAACATATCTTATCGCTGTGTACATAAATGGAGTTCCACGTATGTAGCTGACAGACTGAACTATGATACATCCCCCATCAACCTGAAGTATTAAGTAAACATTACCCCCTGCTCTGTCTGAACAGCTGCTGTAACAGAGTGCTTTTATTTTGGGTGTACTTGTAACGCCCTAAATGCCAGAACTATTGCAAGCTTTTCTACATTTTCATTTGTCAAGTATTGTGGGGGTGTGTGTTCTCTCCCTGGGTTGTTACCCTTTGATTCCACAACAAACTATTTGGATCCTGGTGATGTGTTGTTCCGGCCTCTGGTCAGCAAGCCTTTAACTGGACACCAGCAGTGATTTGTGCCCTTGGGCAATTGTAGGTTTCAGAAGAATGACCAGTTGGGAGTACAAATGAAAGTAATTCTGCTGCTTTATAATGCAGGGTTTGTAAGACATTGCACTTCTTATGAGCTTGCTAGTCCAATGGTGTTTATTACTCCTGTTTTCAAAACCTATTCATTTCTTTCTGCTTCTCTCACCCACCTATAAGGCTATTAATGACAGGTGTTGAGTCACCTTGAGTTTTAAATCCGTTTGTGGTAGGCAGAAATGTGTTGGGTAAGATTCACACACACACACACACCACACGCATGCATACTTACCCATTCCATCTTGGGAGGCTAGAGAAGTTGCTGGATATACTTTCTAACTTAGGCTGCGTTTCATAATCTCTTGAACATGTCTCTGGCCCACACACCTCTTTTCTGTCCCCTGCTCCCATAAATACAATACAAAACAGCTAGAAATAGTAGTGGATGGAAGTGAATGAGAAAGATGAAGTCTTTCAGATGCTTATGGCACAGTGAAAGCCTTTTTTTTTTTGGGTGGGCTGCACCTCACATTTTTAGCTGTGTGTGCATCTGTGTCTGTTTTCTGACGTTAGTCAGCATTGATATCCAACCCAGGCAGTGCGGATCTCCCTGTCTGCTGGCTGGGAGTGGGGGTTAGGAGTTGTCAGCTTTATCATTTGCCAGATGTGGTGCATAGTTAGGACAGAAGATTTTTGAGTTGCTTCTTCAGAATTTAATTAACCCTCATAATGTTGCCAAGATTTATATAATAATTTATACAATATAGCAAAGTTGTATAAGAGAGAAGGAACATGGAAAATCTGTTTTTCTGCTAAAGTGACCTAAATCATACAGCCTCTAGGTTCTAGGGTAGCCAGCACAGTGCAGGGATGGGGGGTGGTTAACATTGAGGTGTAAATTGAATAGATTTTTAAGGTAATAGTGGTGAGTGGGGACAGTACCAAACTGGAGAGTTTCATGCACTGCCTAAAGACAATCTTACTAAAAATTTTAAAAACACCGGGCCAGACATAACCCTCAGGTTAGTTTGCTTCTGAAGGTCCAACCTCTTCTTGTCGTAGATAAGAAAGTATGTTTGGTCAAAGTCATAAAGCTGTTAGCAGCAGAACTGTAAGTGAAACTCAGATCTTATTTTCAGGCTGGTACTCTTTCCATTCTGTCACACAGATGATTTACTGTTAGATTAGAAAATAATGGAATATAAAGTCTTTCAGTTTTTAGTGGATTCGTTTCATATCCATCCCTTGCCATGTTGTCATCTTGATAATTATAGGCTATGTCAAAGCTCAGATTTAAAATTTATAGGCAGGAATCAGCAGTAAAAGACAGACTTGAAATTTCTCTTTCCCCTAATCTGTCACATTCTCTAGCATTCCACACTTCCAGGAATTAATTATTAATTACTTGGCGTACAATTTCTTCTCTTTTTGTCTTTCTAGTGTACTGGTTCCGCCTGTCTGGAAGGCCATGGAGAAGAGGCTGGGAGTCATGCCAAGTCCTGCTTCCTGGATTTTATCAAGATATTGTGGGCAGACATCTGTGAAGTGGTTGAGAAGCCTGTACCTGTTTTATACTTGCTTTTGCTTCAGTGCTCTGTGGTTGTCAACAGGTACCATTTTCTTTATAGATTTACGACTTTGAAAAAGGGCACCCTGTGTGAGTCCCTCAGTTCATTTTAAGGGCTATTAGGAGGCAGGAAAGCAATCTGCTAAGTGACAGAAATGGTCTTTCTTTTGGTGGATACTCAGTTTGTTGTGTTTATTTGTTTTGTTTTTGTTTTGGAACCAAAATTTAAATTGGATTCTTTCTTATAAAGGAGAATTGGCATGACCATTTTGAGATTTGACAAAACTGTATTGAAAACAAAAGGTTTCAAAGTTGGAGAGATTGGAGTCCTGGAGCTGGATGTTTCCACTTAAGGACTATAAAACCTTGGGCAAGTTACTTAATGTCTTTGAGAAAGGATAATATCTACCTCATAGTTTCATTTGGGGGATATTATAATTAAAGCATGTAGTACAGCACTCTGAGCCTAGTTGCTTAGTAAATGATACTTTGATTCTTTCCTTTCCTAAGGGAATCTACACTTACAGGGATACCGTGTACCTTTCTTTTTCCATAGAAAGGGGCTGTGTTGGTAGATTTTACAAAGTATGCATTCCTCCTGGAGATTACTTCATCAGGGTAAAGTCTCTTGCCAGGAATCAGTACCAACAAGGCCAAATTTCAAGGGAGAATACCCTTTCTTTCTGTCTTTTTTCTTTCAGTTCTTTTGTTAACATTGTTCCTTTCAAAGTATGGAGTGTAAGAAAACAGTTTGAGAAAGACTTCTGAGTATGCTGCCATTCTGGGCAGTGACCAAAGCCTTCTGCAGAGACTGCTGTCTGGGATAACTAATTAGTCTTTTGCTCCTATAATTACAAAGATTTTTGTTGCTTTCTTATAGAAATTGGTGGTCATAATCTTGAGACCCAAGTAATTACTGAATTTAGCAATTTCAGTAACATCAACTTTAGGGTTTTTGTTGTCTTACAGTGGCAGTTGATGATTGCATAATTATAGTGGTGGAAATCACAGTTGACAGAAAGCTGACCTAAATGTTTTTAACCCAGATGATGCTTTGCTTGGACAGCAGACTATCGGGCCAACATTTTACGTAAGATCATTTGAATTAAATAAATAATTGTTTTAGCACCATCAGAGTAGAAAAAATCACAATTTTTTTTTTTTTTTTTTGAGACAGACTCTTACTCTATAAGCCCGGGCTAGAGTTCAGGGGCGTCATCATAGCTCACTGCAACCTCAGACTCCTGGGCTCAAGTGAAACTCCTGCTTCAGCCTCTTGAGTAGCTGGGACTACAGCTGCATACCACCATGCCCCGCTAATTTTTTCTATTTTTAGTAGAGACGGGATCTTGCTCTTGCTCAGGCTGGTCTTAAACTCTTGAGCTCAAGCAATCCTCCCACCTTGGGCTCCTGGAGTGCTAGGATTACAGGCATGGGCCACCGTACCTGGCTGGAAAATCACATTTTTTGAAGTGTACCTACCACATACCAAATTCCTAATTATAAACATTACATATCTTATTTCATTTAATCTTCATGATACTTCTAAAACAGATAATTTTATTCTCATCATACAGATGAGGAATTTGAGACCCAGAGGGGCAAAATGACTTGACCAAGGTCACACAGCAAGAACATGACAGGATTCATGTCAGGATTCTAAACCCAGGTTTATCCACTCTAGAGCTCGTATTTTTTGTCTTCTGCTACCCTGTGTTCCCTCCACAAGTGATCTTTTGGAGGACCAAAGACAATTTTTTTTTACCCAGAACCATGATAAGCAGCTTATTATTTGAGGGATTCAAAGAACAGGGGATGAAGGAGCAATTCCAAATTTTTCTATATTTTCCAGTCTAGCACTTAGTTAAACATAGCATTTTGGGCTCATTGGGTAAGTCTTTAGTACCCCTTGAGCTTGGTGCTTAAATACAGTACCCCAGTGAGCAGATTGAGTATAAAAGTACAAAGGTGTTGTTAGGAGTGGTTCTGGTGGGGATTAAATTGTACCAGTTTCGTTTTAGAAAAGTTTGGTGCTTTAACTGCAGAAATTAAAGATTGAGAGTCAGGTGTGCTCAAACTGAGGGGACATGTAAACACATGACAGACATATTTGTTATATGGTTCGATTTATTGGAGCTCTTTCACGTCAAGTTTTAAAAAAAATACAATATCCTGGTAGAGAAATAAAGAGCATAGAAAGTACCATAAATAAGAAATTAAAGTGAATGTATTTAAGATGTTCATTCTCATTACTAAGCAAAGAACTGCAAATTAAAATGAAAAATCCTTTTTAATCTATCATATTGATGAAGATTAAAGTAAAAATATCTTGTGCTGCCAAAGGGTAATGTGGTTGCCCTGATACAGTGCTGGGAAGTTTCAACAGAGGTCTTTTTTTTTTTTTTTTTTTTTTTGGAGACAGAGTCTCACTATGTTGCCCGGGCTAGAGTGCCGTGGCGTCATCCTAGCTCACAGCAACCTCAAACTCCTGGGCTCAAGCGATCCTCCTGCCTCAGCCTCCTGAGTAGCTGGGACTACAGGCATGCGCCACCATGCCTGGCTAATTTTTTCTATATATTTTTAATTGTCCAATTAATTTCTTTCTATTTTTAGTAGAGACGGAGTCTCGCTCTTGCTCAGGTTGGTTTCGAACTCCTGAGCTCAAACAATCCGCCCGCCTCGGCCTCCCAGAGTGCTAGGATTACAGGTGTGAGCCACCGCGCCGGCCAACAGAGGTCTTTTTGGCATAAATATCAGGAGCCCTAAAAAGTTCATATCCTTTAACTTAATCCCCCTCTTAAGAATTTATCTCAAGGATATATTTAGAGAATTATGAAGAAGAGTACTCATCAACGCTCATTTATTTTATTCTGCAAACATTGCTGTAATCTGCCCAAAGAATAAGAGGGTGGTGAAATTTTTGCATATTCACATGGTGGAATATTATCTAACCTTAAGATTCGTATTTTAAAAGAATGAGCACATTGGAAATGCTTCTAATATTAAATGATAAAAGCAAGATACACAACTGCCTATTCACTATGGTGTCAATTTTGTGAAAAGAAAAAGAATTATGTAATAGAAAACATTTTGAAACAAGATATCTAACTGAATGTTTATATAGTTTTTTGAGCAGTGGCATTATTATCACTGTACTTTTCTGTGTTTTCTAGCTCTTTTCTTCAGTGTATTTTATAACTTTTTTTGATAAGGGGGAAAAAACTCCTACCTGAAATAACAAAATAATAGCAGCAAAAACCTATTGGTGGTAGCCTGACTCAGTATGTATCTGTTCGTGATTTTATTCAGTTTTTACCTGAGCTCTAAAGTTTTTCTCAGATAAAATACATTCTTGATTGTTTGCTGTTGTTATTTAGCTCAGGGATTATATAGATTATTCCTAAAAAAACAACCAGAATAAGACAGCTCTCCAGTTATCCTGTGTGCCTGTTTACCGCTTAGTCATTTACCCCATCTTTGGTAGCGCCCCAGGCATGCACTGACTTACACACAGTGGGCTTCTTTTTTATTTCTGCTTTTCAGTTCAGTGCTGAAGCCCCACTGCTGGAAAGCAGTGATTACAGTTTGTCTAATAAAAGATGCTTTGTCTTTTCCTTGTGGGCCATTGAATCACTGTTTTTCTATTTAAATTTACTGTTAAGTGGCTTGAAAAATAGCATTTTGGACTTAGGGGTTCCCTTCTGGAGACAAATGTGAAATGACCCCAAGAATTTGGGAATTTCTACAATAGATTGTTGTCAGCTTCTTGAAAGCAGGGGTCTTGCCTCTTTTACTTACGCTAGGTATTTTAGCAAGTACCAAGGGCTTGGCACATAGTAGATACAGAATAAAAATATTTGTTGACTGAATAAACCAATGAATTAGTAAATAAGCAAATTGTCCTTTGAGAATTAAATTTTAAAATCAACACAATCATGAGCCTATTAGGATCTAGAAAAAAAAATCAACACAATCAGAGCAGAGGTATGCAAAGATACCTTAAGGAGACACGGTACCTTTGAGACCAAGAAGATTTGACTAAAACCATAACAAATATATTAACATATCTAAAGAAGGAATGTGTACATTGAAGAGTTATGTGTGCTTATTTGTGGGGGATGTGAGGACTTACCTGGCCCTGGAAACCCCAAATAAGGAAAATTGTTGAGGCTAATGTAGGCTTAAAGCTAACAATTGGCTGTGAAAACTTTTACTGCTGTTCCCTTTCTTCTGGAAAGGAGATTACATAGTTAATAAGTATTTTGAGTACAGAGAAAAATTATTCAAGTTGGAACTATTTTTTGAGAACTTACTAGGTGTCTGGTTCTAGACTAGGCACTAGGATAATAAAGATGAATATAACACAATCCCTGCCCCAGAAGAACTTCCAGTTTAATTGGAGAAATAAATGTTTGAACACTATGATGTGGTAAGTGAAAAGATAGAGGGATGCAATGAACATGGTGCTGTTAGAACCAGAGAAGCATTTTGCTCAGAGGTGACGGGGGAGAGCCCAAGTATTCTTTCCAGAGAAGCTGGATGCCTGAACATAGTTCGAAGGTTGAATTTGAAGGATACAAAGGGTTTTCCCAGATAATAGAAATGCAAGAGTAGAGCCACAAAAGTGTGAAACAGCTTGATATAAAGAAGAAACTCTACAAGCAGTTTAGCACTGCTAGAGTGTGAAGAGCAAAGCTGGAATGGCAGCTCCTGAAGAGGTAGATGGTGACAAGGTCACAAAGGATCTCATATGCTATGCTAAGAAACTATAGTTTTCATCTTTTTAGGCAGGTGGTCTATAAACTTTCTTCATTATGTACTCTAATCCATAAAATAAATTGAGGCTGTATCCATATATATATTTATTTATACATTATGATAAGTGACATTGTACTAGTTAATGTCTTATATATATGAGATGCCAAAAACAAAATTTTAAGGGGATTAACTGAAACAGTTTAAAGGGATTAACTCAAAAACAAATATGAAGAGTTCTAATATTTTCTTTTCATGCTCCAGTGATTTGTGCACCTCTTATAGGCA